TCCCATTCTCCCTCTCCCAATCACCCCATCTAGCATGCACTACCTTCCTCCACATTTCCCCCCCCTCCCCAAGATATCTCCACAACCATTTCCCATGGAAAGTACGATTTAACTCCACAATTGACATTAAGCCGAGCCCACCCTCCAAAACCGGTTTTTTGACACCTAATCAATGATATTTTCTATTACCATTCTCATCACTCCAAAGGAATCTACATTGAATGTTTTCAAGTCTTTTTGCAATGCTGGCCGGAATTATTAATATGGAGAGATAATAGATTGGTAAGTTAAAAAGTGTACTCTTAATCAACATGAGTCTCCCCGCTTTAGATATAAAGTTCCTCTTCCAACGTGAATCTACATTGTCATTCCTAACTTCATAAACAGGTTTTGTTTTATACTTTAAATTTAAATTTAGATTACATCTAACCAGTATCATTTTCAAACAATTACAATCAAAAGCAACAAAAAAATGGCAGGTTACAGGAAACATAAACAGTCAAAGTCACACTCCCACCATCAACACGGATTGATGTGGTTTCCTCCTTCAATGAAATGGGTTTTGTCATCCAGTTTGAGAAGTAAACACCAGCAGAACTCATGTCCAGAAAGTAGCTTTTTTATACAGTTGGTATGTTCATCAGGTAAATGAAAGAAGCATTTTATAAGATAATCTACATCCTAGTACAAATCTAATTTGTAACAAGTATAGATGAAAGCAGAATTTTTAGCATATAATCTAATTCCTAGTACAAATGTGACTGTCTAAAAAGTATGAGAGGGAAAGGTAAATTGCAAACCTTTGGATTTGCAGGATTGTCAAATTGTTGAAGCATGTAGGCATTAGGTGTGCTTGCCAAGATCTCTTCAGCTTTTTGAACTGCTCCCTTCATTCCCTTCGCCGAATCAGTTAAAACAAGCTCAGCTCCAAACGCCTTCAAGAGAACCCTTCTTTCCAAGCTCATGGATGCCGGCATTGTCAAGATAAGTTTATAACCCTTTGAAGCAGCTATAAATGCAAGGCCGATGCCTGTGTTTCCACTTGTAGGTTCCACAAGAACACTCTGACAATATAGAAGGACAAAGCAAATAAGGTGACCTAAAAGCTATAGAAATCAACAATACTTTGTCTTACTCTTTAGTATTGTTTTACAAGAAGTACAAGGACCAAAAGGTTAACCAACATGGCAATTTTTTTAAGTCATTCTAATTCCTCCCAAATGTTATACTGCATATGAAAACAAAAATTTACCACAAGAAGAAAATAAAGCAAGTAAATTATTTTTCTTTTCAACTGACCATTTTTTATTAAAAGCATATAATTTTTTTCCCATAAGACCAAGGAAAATTTATTAGAAAGAGAGAAGGTAAAAGAAAAGGAGAGGATAAGGTATCCCCAAGAAAGAAATATATGTGTATATATATACTTGGATATACAAGAAACAAAGAAAATGGACGCAGAAATAAAACATCAATACAGTGAAGCAGGTCCAGTCTTTATGTAAAATTGACGAAGAAACACCCCAAATGGCGGAGGTTGAGTAAGTTGTTGAAAGGCCCTGGCATTATGTTAACTTTGCAAGAATATTGCATGGTCAAAGAAAAGCAAGACTATCGTAAATGCCCAAGGAAACAGTTTATATTAAAAAAAAAATGAAATAACTGAAAGAAGGCCAAAATTTAAGTTTCACAGAAATGACAAGAAATAAAAGGAGGACATGCATCTTAAAAATCTACTGCTTGTTACATCCCTCAATATAGGCATAAGGAGCCACTCCACCATCAATTACTAGTAGGACCATTACCTTTCCAGGTGTTATTAGCCCCCTTTGCTCAGCATCAGCAATCATACTGTAACCTATCCTGAAATGAAGTAGAAACTTTTTAAAAATTAATCAAGATGTCATCAATAGAATATTTATAAAAAGATCATGTGAATATAACAAAACTAATCAGCTATACACAAAAGAAAGGAGGAGACTCACTGCCATTTGTTTTTACATTGTACCATGACGTGGAAATTGTGGGCTGGTCTGATGAATAAGTTTGGCCTCATCTGGGTGGCACCTCCTACAGTTTTTTTATGAATTCATGTACTCGAGAGGATGGAGTAAGAAAAGAGGCTAAGATACTACAGCAGTGTGCTATTTTTGCAGGTCCATGGGGTATATGGCTAGCAAGGAACTAAGAAACTTTTCTTGATAGGAAGACGACATTCCATGAGCTCAATGAGAGGGTTGTTTTTATGGTCTTCCTTTGGGCAAAAGCACATGGTCACTTCCCAAGCATAAGCATCTTAATGCTATATCATAATAGGGACACATTCATTCACAGAGGATAAAGGAGACATTTTACTACACACTGTTTTCAATTTCTTGTTCGTAATTATCTATTTATTTTTTTACTTACTGAGGAGGATGACTTATTATCCATCTTTGTGATCTCTTCTCTCCTGCTATTATTTTACTAAAGCTTCTTTTTCTATCAAAAAAAATCAGCTATATACAAAGGTTTGGGACCGACTGCAGAAAAGCATTTTCCTCAAAGACTTAGCATGTCAACATAGGAATGCTATGTAGAGAACCAACAACACCATCTGATAAGCATGATTTTCCACTTCATTTTCAGTGGTGACATTCAGATCACAGTCTAACTGGGTAGTTCTTTAAACATATGAACAAGTTACAAGATCCTCGTACAAGTTTGAGTGCCTAGAAGAGCAATTTTATCTTCCTACCTGTCCTTAACACTGCAGCATGGCTCCATGATTTCAAGCTTGGCAGCAATGTTTGCAGCACACCCCTTTACAATATTATTTAGGTACACCATTGGTGTTTTCCCAATAAGCTGTGTCACATAAAAAATAGTATGAAAAGATATATATGTGAAGAAGATGAAAACTGAGTGCAGCCACGAATTTTTCAGTTGCCTTGAACAAATCATGAAATAGGCAAAAACAACTGTTTAGGTTTATAAGAGACGCATATTGCATCACCAAATAACAGCTGAAACCATTCTGCCAAATTTTTCAAATAGAAAAGCAAGAATTACATAATATTCGAATGAGAGAACATCTTTGTCAATATAAATTCCCAACAAGGAACACAGCTTTGCAAGATTCACAGTCCAAACAGAAATTTCCAGAAAAACTTCTGCTTCATAATTCTCATGTCTTAGGCCCAAAATAGATTCAAAGATCTCAACTAAAGCAGTATCCCAATTGGTACTAACACAAATACTCAGAATTCCAAAATTTCCGGATTGAAAACCAATTTTACAAGAAACAAAACTAATCCACCTCATATGTCTCATGGACTGTAGCAAAAGACACTCGATATCATTGCTAAGCTACACTCAACATTAACCTAAATCCCCGGGAAACAAGCCAAAATTTCTCCAAATTCAAACACAAAGTTACAAAAGAGAAAACTAAAAATAAACTCATTTCTTAATTAAAACAATTGCTCAACGGGAAAGAGGAGCTGAAAGAGCATATAAAATCTCTCTCATCGAGTAACATCCTCCTAAACATTAACACACTTCAATAGTACAAGCTTTCAAAAAGAATCTACGAACGGAAATCCTATCAGATTTAATCAATTACGACAACGGAGTCAAGTTCTCTCACCTGAGTTACATCGCTGGCAATATTGAGGCCTTCAACCTCAGTCTCAGGCTTAACAGACACTGCCTTGCACACAACAGATAATGCGGAAGAGGAGACCTTCTCATGCTTTTGCCTCAGCTGCTTGATTCTCAAAGGAGTAGCACTGAGCACAGACCTCGTCCATCGGAGAGGAAAGAGCTCCGTTGATTTGATCGACTTGCAGAGATAATAATCCGAGGATTTGAACAACAGTGCGGACGAAGAAGAAGAAGAAGAAAAAGCAGCAGCAGTAGCCATATTTAGTTCTCAGGAATTCTTGATATGAGAGAGTTGGCTTTGCACAATCCGTTGGATTTTACACGGGTGCGTACGATAATGAATTTGACTGGAAACGCGGAATCGGTTCTTTAGGCACAAAAAATACATTTATTGTATTTTATTTAATTCGTATGCATTTTTAAAAAATATATTTTTCTTTTTTTCATCAACATGACCTTTTAGTGACCGAAACGACAGTTTTAAAAGTAAAATAATAATAATAATAATATGATAAATTGGAGGCCATATAAAAAATATCTTTACCATTAAATTATAATATTTATTTATTATTTTTATTCACGTAAAATTAATAATAATAATAATAAATGCCATGAAAATTAACTTCATGTAATTCATTATGTTATTTATTTTTGCTAATAATTAAACTTGTAATATAATAATGGTTAGCAATTCAAAATATAATTATAGTCGTAGCCTTTGAATTCTATAATTATATAATTTATTAAAAAAATAATTATATTACTAAACTTATTGACTTTTTAGTTTTCTGAATTTATCTCATTATATAATTTTTATTATTTATGATTGTGTAAGTTTTTCATATATTTAATCAATATATTAATAAAATTTACGGTTCGATAATAATTATAATTATTTTTAACATTTATTGATTTGATAAATTTAAAATTATTAAAAATTATATTAAATATTTGATTCAATTATTTTTTATTAATTGTTTACAAATTATAATCAAGTTGGGAATGTACTTAGTAACGAGGCAACGATATTATCAAGTTATATAGCTTTTAAATTCAAAAGTTTGTACTTTTTTTATTCCTCTATTATAATAAGATAATTATAATCTATAGTTTTATTTATTACAAATTATTATATCAATTGGTGTGCTATGAATGTATAATTTATAGACAATGACTTACCGTATTTATGGTACAATTAAATTATAATATTTATTAAAAAAACTATTGTCAGCATTCATAACCCTTGATACAAAGTTATTTATGTATCTAGATATATAATATGGTCTGTATTAAATCCCTATAATTCCTAACAATTTTTTTTTTAAAAAAATACATAATTTATATTGAATTATTTGGATATAGAATGGCTAAAATTACTTATTTTTGTCTTGATTTTGATACATAATAAGAATATAATATAGTTTTATATTATTTTGATTGTTAAATTTATAACAAAAAATGCATAGGGTATGACCAATTAAAATTATTATATTATTTATTTTGCAAATGACGAGACAAATATTACATAATTCTATATTAATTATAATATTTAACCAAATGTAAAACGTGCCAACCTACCACGTGCTATATATATTGAAATCAAAAAATATAAATTAATTAATGATTCAAAATAATAATAACAGTGTTATATATATAAAAATTAATTTAAAACTCTCAAATCTCTATTTTTATTATTTTATATTTTCAATAATTAATTTTGGTTTTTGGTGAAAATTATTTTTTTATTAAAATATTCACTATTTATGTTACTACATTTATAAATTAAATAATAATAAATTTAAATTTATTCTTCCAAAAAAAAAAAAGAAGAAAACTCAGGTCTGGTCTGTAGACGCTGCTTATCGGAATGTACCGCGAGAGCGCCGTGGTCTGTGAAATCGAAGTTACTGTAAGCGTCGGTGTCATCTTCTCTGATGGATTCTGATTCTCTCTTGACTTGTAACCATTCAATCTGAAGACAAACATAAAAGACAATCTAGAAAAATCGGAAAGTTTTGATTCTCCAGAGCCGGTAAAGCAAGTAATCACAAGGCTTGCTTGAGCTGGTTATGGACTAGTTTGCTGGAAGGCAGCAGCTAGGTGAGTTCTGATTATTCTTTTGTGTTATTGGCTTTATTTTCTTTCTTTTTGTTTTTTTTTTCTACTCTCTTTCATGTCAATTCGGATTACAAAAAATAGTTGAAAGAATTGTTGTCTTCAGTGTCTGTTGAAATGTTTGAGGAACCATTAGTAATTATCTGGTTTTCTTTTTAGGGTTTTGGTTTCTTTTATTTTTAAGAGCTAATTGGGAATTTTTGTTGCTGATAATGATGAATGTAGAAGAACACTCTGATTACAAATGTTGATTAGTGTTTCAGCTTGTTTCATTTCAGCCTACAATTCCCACTTAATTCTTTCACTAACTGAATGAAAATTGAACCAGACAGAGTTAATGGACCTTTTTGATAGTATGATTATGTGAGGAAAAATCACTTCTGAGTTAATCAGGTAAAGTTATGAATTTGTAATTATCCCCATGATTAAACAGCTTCAATCAATAGCAGCTCTGCAACATCCTTTCTCATCCGTGCTAGAAAACTCTATGTATGTTTTCCTTCTGAATGCTATAAGTTAATTCTTTCTGGTTGCTTTTTTTAGCTTTTGTCTTCTTCATCAATGCAAATGCATTGCCCTTCTTGTCTGGCATGTTGAGTCTTTTTAGTTTCTATAATCTCTCAAGTCTTTACTCTAAAATATGAAGCTGAAGTATTTTGGCGGGCATGAATTCCACATGAGAAAGGCTCATGTGTAGTTTTTACCTCAGATGCACTGTGTTACAGGTCTAAGAAGAAGGAAGTAGATCCTGTTTTTAGTTTTGTTAACTGTTTTCTCTATGTATATTTTGACAATTTGTTGTTAAGTTATCGTCTCCTAGCTTTATGCATAGGAGCAAGATCGAGAAGAGAAAGCAATAACTTGATGGTGATAGATCGATTGTCTGAAGTCAGTACAGCTTCAACAAAACTAAAGTTGGATAAAGTTAGATGGTTTTACCATTTACTTACCATTTGCACTCAAGTTAATACTTAATGCACTGAAAATAACGTTCTGCCATATTCAATTTGCAGATTTAATATCCTATAGCATGTAGAATTATATGTCCTGCTTTATGTGCTTTTTTTTGTTGTAGTTTGTAAGATCATATTGCTTAAATTTTGGTCAGGCAACGGAAGGCTAACAAGGGCAGTAGCTCCAGATTACACGAAAGAAGATGGCTGAGGAGAAAAATCTGGTTGAAATCTTGGAGGAGAATAAGCAGGTTGACATTGCTAAATACATAAACTATGTGAGTGCCCCACAAGCTGGTGCTATCGCAACATTTTCAGGCACTACAAGAGACACTTTTGAAGGCAAAACAGTCCTCGAACTAAGATATGAAGCATATGTACCAATGGCAACTCGATGCATCAAATCTATCTGTTCAGCAGCTCGATTGTCTTGGAAACTCCATTCAATCGCAGTGGCACACCGCCTAGGTCCAGTTCCAGTAGGAGAAACTAGTGTTTTCATTGCAGTATCCTCAGTTCATCGTGCAGATGCCCTCGATGCTTGTAAATTTCTGATTGACGAATTGAAGGCTTCCGTTCCAATATGGAAGAAGGAGGTATATGCTAACGGAGAAGTTTGGAAGGAGAATTCAGAGTTTATGGAGAGGAGATTGGAGCTTGCGAAGACTGATGGAGGCTGCTCAGGAAGGAAAATTATGACCGAGGGGCATAGTAGAAAAGGATGTTGTGGAGAAAAGGTTAGAGTGGACAATGGAAATGCGGTGGATAAGAGTACCAGAGATGGAGCAACTAAAGAAATAGCAGAGAGGGAAGGATCAATTTGATGCATCCTGGACTCATGCAAAAACCCTTCATCTTACCATGGATGTTGTTGATTTGGATGAAGGCATAAGTGCTGAGTAAGAGAGTCTTTAAACCGGGCATATTTCAATACCAAAGAATATTTCTGTAATTTTGACGTTTATGTATTATTTAGGTTTATTGTTGATAAAAGTTTATTATTTCATATTTAATTATGAACCTATCTGATTATTTTTTAGTACGGTTATTATATTAATTAGTTTATTTCTATATTCTGCCAGAATTTTTAGGTAGATTTAAAATTTTTTTATGCATGTACTTAATCTTTTATATAGTGGCTCTGCAACTTCGCTGTACAAAGAAAAAACATGGAGTATCACACAGCACAGACTGAAGATACGCCTGCATTCAAAGCAAAAGATTTATCATCCAACTATATAAATCGTCCTTCAATATCAGTCAGCATATTATCTTCAAATCCCTACACTGTAAGACAAAAGCTAGAGATCTCCAGAATATAGAAAATAAGAAATCGTCGCTCCGTTTCACACTTGCTACTCTTCGTTTAGCAATAGAATATGGAATGACTAAATTTCTACTAACACCCCTGGGAGCTAGGGAATCTGAACCCTCACCCCAGGAAAAAGAAAAACCAGAGAAGAGGGTCCGTGTCGAGGTCCTCTTGAACCACTGCTGAATGTTGAAACCCATCTTCTCACTCAAGTTTCACAATATTCATTTTCTCACTCAAGTTTCACAATATTCTTTGAATTCCCATGGTCATACTGTTCAAACTCCGGAGAGAATTTATGATTCCGGATGATCTTGATCAGGACAAAAGTGTTAGCAGCCAAGAACAATAAGCTTGCCATCCAAAGCTGCAAGAAGACATTCTTCCCCTTGAACTCAAGCAGATAGCCCCACATCAACCAATGAATTTGAGCTGCCATCCATAATAAAATGCAATATGTACCTTCCCATTTAAGCTTCATCCTACTCCATGGCATTATGAGAGGCAACAAGCAAAAGAACCAGACAAAGTACTGTGCTGTTATTACCTGCCAAAGGAATCAATGCAGCTGGTATATGAGAATGTGAAATGAAAATTACAAAAGCTTTCTGCAAACACAAACTCAAAAAGGACATGGAAACACTGGGACACAGTGAGTAGAATGTCCAGATTGTTGCATATCCACATGGAAAATGCATAATTCTCACAAGCTTCTTCAAGAACTTCTACTAGAAAGAAAAAAGGTTCTATCTTTAATAGGTAACCTTAAACATCATGCTTGAGTTTCCTGTTTGGTAATCTAAAAAAAATAATTCTTGTTAGGTTCTTAAAATGAAATCGGGACGATAAAAATAAACATTATATTCTGAACTCTTAAGAGTTGTTATTTTTTATCTAACTAGTTTACTTCTTGCCCCTTTGATATACTCTAAAAATTAACAATATGTATAATAATATTAAGGCATAAAATATTTGTAATAACTAGATATTTTTTATCAGTTTTTTTGCTAAACAACAGTGCATATTTTTCATAACCAATACTTTATCCCAATTCGTAACTGTTTATAACTTCAAATAATAATTCACCAATTTACTTACAATATCTTACTGGCTTAAACATTTCTTATAGCAATTTGAGACACCCTCCTAAAATGATGCTCCACATATGATGTTTGATAGAAGTTCAAAAATAAAGAGCAGTAGGCAATCATGGTCTGACGCACCTTGTTGAAGGCAACAAAAAGCCACTGTCTGCACAAAGATGCAGAAAGGTAGATCCCTTGCAAAGCTAAAAATAAGAACCAGTTGTACTATAAATTGAGGCAAAAAAGAGATGAGCTTTTCCACCAGTGAAAATTCCTTTTCGTAATTGAGATAGATGTGATAGAAGTAAATGGAGAAATTGTGTCTTGGGTCTGTACGAGTAAGATGGTATAATAGCGCCTCGTGCAGGAACTCCCATCCATATAAATAAAAGAAAAGACCAGTGCATGAGAGGAAAACACCCCCAGAGACCAGGGCAAAGATAATCCTCTGTCTTGTAAATATATTTCTTAAGATAATCCATGCGCTGCAGCAACCAGTCCTTGGAGTACTATTTTCACTAGTCTCTTCTTGACTCAAGTTCTGATTTCGAAGTTGAGTCCTCGGATGAGATTGGAAGAAGTATGGACCAAGAACCCAGATTATAGGGAGTGCATAGATTATTGGATAAATTCTGAAATGTACAACAAGTCCATACCAAAATGCGGCTTGTAGCAACTTACCTACAAACAGAAATTATAACAGCATTAACTGAATGTTCCACATTTATAATTATATCAAATAAATTTCTATGACCTGCTTAAGCCAAGTAATGCCCAGTAAGCAATCAAAAGAAGTTCATTAAAAATTGATTCATTTGACCATCAAATCATTTATGCTTCAAACTTTTCCTTCCAATTGATCATATGTTTGACATCTTGACACCAACTTCTCCTGCAACATCATTTACACTTCCCAATATAAAGCATCAGTCACGATTTCTAAGCACGATCTTTAGGAGAAGATACATAATCAAATCAAGGTCCCTGTGAAGTTCCAAGTTTCTTCCCGAAAGATAATTTCAACGAATCAAATATTTTAATGTTTTTATCACTATATTAACTTGTTTCCACCTAGTAGTTTACATGTATATGATGTCTCACTGTAATTGACAGGAATCATATAGCCCTCAGGATCTTGTATGTTGTGGACATAACATAATAGCCAAAGCGAGTCTCTTCCAGTTCTTTCCTTTCTACAAATCCATTTCTTTCCTACTTCAAATTTATACTGGATCACAATTTCACACGACACATGGACTTCCATCAAGCATCAGGTATGTGACATTTATAACTAAATTGCTGCATTACTATTATTTCTTTTGTAGAAAATATTCATGGCATAATAACTCACTCCACTGAAAATCTGAGGAATTTTCGGAGCAGAAATAAGGTTTTCGGTTGAAAACATGCTTATATTTCCTAGTTGAGAAATTTAGAACCTTGAAATCAAAGCCTCCTTATCTTCAGTTCAATATGCAAAGACTGCTGTAAACTTATGAAGCATCATTCTATAAATCAATGAGAAAACTAGCAAGAATTTCAAAAGAAACAATTGCCAAAAAGTACGTACTATGAAATTTTAAATATGGAAGAGAAAATATACCATTCATAAGACAGATAATGATCCACAAAATCATGGCACAAACAATGGGCTCACAGTTCCCACGGGTTCCAATGGTGAAGGTAAATGGATTGAGGAGCCATACCATTACAGAGTATGTACATAGGTCTTCAGGCACCTTACGCTGCTTCAAGATGATGTGGATAAACAAGCCTACCAGCAAATCTACAGTGAAAGTTGATAATTAGATAAATTGGCACTTCTTTCCTCTTGACGATAATGCCTTTGAAACGAGTAAAAAACCCACTGTATCAAGTGGATAGAAAGGAGCAATGAGAGAAGTCTGCCTGGTCTATGTGCATTAGTACTTAAATCATAAAAACTGCTGTTGTTTATATCAAACATAGGTGTTTCCTTGATTCTTTTCTTGACAGGTGAAAATACAAATCTATAGTTCTGGAATTGAAGATATGAGTGAAAATTAATTCAATTATGTATTGAATGCGTAAAGTATGACTAGCTCTATATTTCAAATAGCTAATATCTAAGAATTAAATGTGAACAGAACATATTTGAATCAAACACAACCAAAGAGTAACACTTTGAAGTATCATTATGACCTTCTAACCAGGTGAACAAACACTTTGAACCAAGTCATACGGAATAACTACTTTAAGCTAGCTTGCAATCTAAAACACAATACTGATCAATGTCAATATTTCAATGGCGGCCTTCTAACAAAAAAAACCAACTTCTTCATTAATATTCTTCATTGAATCTAATTAATACTGTTCATCAATATTTAACAAAGAAACCAACTTTTAAATTCAGACGAAAAGACAACTAAGTATACTTAATAGTCCAAGAAACAAACTCGGAAATAAAAGGAAAGAAGAAAGCATAGGAGAAAGTTATTTGGTATGAGAAAAACAAAACTTAAACAAACAAATTATATTTTGCAGATAAGGCCAAGAATCTTTATTTCGCTCAAGAAAAAGGTCAAGAATTTTTTCTCACCAGAAGCTGAGAAAAGAAATTTTCCCCATGAGGGATGAATAAATGAATTTGGAATCAACAGGAATGCTAGCAGAGGTGAATAACGATACGTAGTTCTCTTGTAAGGCGATTCCTTTGATGCCATTAAAGCAGCAGCATCAGAAAAGACAAGGTAATCTACATCTGTATATCGAACCTCCATATGACCATCCTGCCATTCTCCATAGATAATCAAAATGACTCGAAAAAGTGCTGAGACAGCAAGCAGTGAACGAAACCCTACAGCTCCCATAGCTGAAATACAAAATACAAACCCAACTTCAGCTTTAACGCTCGCGGAGAAATCGAGTAGTCTGAAAAGATCTCTACTCTCTCCTCACTCTCTCTTCTTACTCTCCCTCCTTCAGTTTGCTCTTCAGCTCTCTGCTTCTTTCACTAAACCGAAACCTTCTCCCAAATTGCATCCTCTTCCTCGAATCGCCTCCTCTCTCGGCTTACCCTGGCTTTCTCAAATCACATCCTGAAAACTCTTCACGTCACATCTCTGTTATCTTCGCTAGCCAACACCTCGTCCTTCCCTGCAAACCAGGGTTCCACCACTGTTCAACAGCTCGCTTGTCTTCTTCCTCTACAAGTGCTCCCTACCTCCTCGCTCTGTTTCCTGCCTCTGCCTCTGCCTCTGCGTACGTTTGTCTCCTACTTGTCGCTAGAATCCTCAAAACGGTGCCGTCTGAGGTTCATATGGGTTGACGATGACTTTCCCAAAAAAAAAAACGAAAAGAAAAAGAGTTGATGGTGATACCTACCCCATTTGCATTTTGGTGTGTGTAAGACACGCGCCATTTAAAAGCTCCCTCTAGCAGACTAGCATGAGCGGCCGGCCATTTTATGCTCTTCGTTGACTCTCACATTCTATTGACATTTTGCGCGCCTCGCTGGCGTTTCATTCGCGGCTCTAGTTGGAACTTTTAGTTGATTGCCGGCCGAGCTTCATTACCGTACTCTCAGTTTGAGCGCCCCGATTTTTCGAGCTCTCAGTGGTATACGTACAAGTTCCGTACGTGCCGCGGGAAGCAAGGTTCGTTTAGCAACCTTTTTGAAACTTTAAAATTTCTGTTCAAATGCATACTTGAATTGATTCTTGGATGTGATGTGAGAGTATTGTGCGTATGATGTTTTCATTTTAGCTAAGGCATGCGGTGGTTGACTGATGTTATGCCTGGGATTAATTCGATGTTTATTTGATGAAATTTATGTTGGCTGATGAATTATTAGTATTTACTGTTTAGGCTTAGGCAATATTTTGAACAAGTGAAATATGGAGTTCATTTCATTTTTAATTCTCATGAATTTATTTCTAAGTCAATTCTTTTGTTTAGAATAGTGAACTGCTAGAATATTTTTTAGCAGTGTAATTTTAGATCAGTGATGTTTTGTTAGTGTATTTTAATATACATATGTATATGCTCTTAGCAATTTTGGAACTGGTTGTTTAGCTTCTGGATTGTGCTGTTTGAGAGCATTCCCTGATTTGTATCTCCAATTGTTTTCAGTAAATTTAATGTTAAACAGAAGTCACAGTAAATTGCTACAGTTCCCTTTTATTTCAAATAATCACAACCATGTCGCATGACTCACAGTCGCCTCCTTCCTTCAGCAGGGACTGGTTCTTCCCCTCACCCACTTATTCCACTCACCCACCAGGAACCCCAAAATATACTAGAAGATTCTCCACAACTAGGAGAATCTCTCAGCCTTCCTTTCCTGATCCACAAACCCAACAAAAGCCATTGTCTAGAAATGAAGTGCTGGAATCGTGTAGTGTTTCATCCTCTAACTCAAAACCCTATAGAGACACCAGATATGTACGGCCTCGCCGCAGAGTTGACTTTAGTCGAAAAACTGATAATCCACCTAAAAGAGAAGAAGACTATGCTGTTTCAGATGGCATATCAGTTAGCAAATCTGCCATATTGGGAGAGAAGATGATTGTTGGGACCTCAGGTCAACGGCTTAAGGTCCATTGGCAGATGGCATTTTCTATAGTGGTGTGTGCACTGGTCTCTTTATCCTTGTTCTCTTCAAGAGCCATTTGTTGCTTGATTCAGGAATAATTTGTTTATTTGATTGCAGATTCTGGTCACAGTCTTTACTTCTTTAGTGCACAAGAGCTTCTCATTGCACAATCAAGTAACTGATTTGAAGGTAAAAATCGCAGAAACAATTTATACCTCAATTTGGTTCAGCCAATAATTCCCTATGGTTAACTTATATGGTGATCATACTTCTCATTTTTCTATTAAATCAGGATTTGGCAAAACTGATGTTAATTCCAGGTTCTCAATCAAATTATTTTGAGTTTGAGACACGATATATATATATATATATATATGTTTTGTACAATCTTAGGGTAATTCCATTCAAGCACTAAATTGGTACAAAATCATGGTGAAATACAAGAATACATTTTGATATTGTTTCTTCTCAAGTACTAGTTCATTCTCATTACTGATATTTTTTATTTTTTGTATGTTTGAAATCTGTCCTGTTTATATTTTTTCTAGAGTAAGTGGTAAAATAAACTGCTATCATATTAATGAACAATGTGGATTGACTTTATGTATTGTGATTGATGTTCGTATGAATGTTGGCCAGTTTTAATATGTATATCATGATTGTCACCAAGTTCTGGTAAGTAGACAACACTGATACCATATCTACTTTAGTGTTTTTCCCCATAATCACAAATAGTTTTAGACTAGACATCTTCTGTTTATTGCTACAATTGTCAATGAGTAAAACCTTGCTAAATGAGGCTTCTTTATCCTGTCAGGGTCAGATCTCTAAGCTGAATATTAGACTACAAATGTGCAATCTGTCGGACTCTGCAGATATTTCTTTATATGGGGAGGATGATCTTCTTCCTAGCAAAAGCTTAAAAAATTTAGCTTTGGTTTTTTCAATTGCTCTCTTGTCAATCCCCACCTTTATTTTCAAGTACATATACTATGTCTCAAGATCAAGAAAATCGGATATTATTTCTGAAGAAGTTTCTCTAAATAAGCAGCTAGCATATCAAGTGGATCTCTTTTTATCTGTCCATCCATATGCTAAGCCACTTGCATTGTTGGTTGCAACTCTACTCCTCATTTTTCTTGGGGGGTTGGCACTTTTTGGTGTGACTGATGACAGCTTAGCAGATTGCCTTTGGTTATCCTGGACATACATAGCTGACTCGGGCAATCATGCTAACTCCGAGGGCATTGGTCCAAAGCTAGTTTCAGTTTCCATTAGCTTTGGTGGAATGCTTATATTTGCGATGATGCTTGGACTTGTCTCAGATGCAATTTCTGAGAAGTTGGACTCACTACGGAAAGGAAGAAGTGAGGTGGTAGAGCAGAACCACACTCTTATTCTTGGGTGGAGTGACAAATTGGTAAGCTTCTTATTCTGCAGCTTATGATAGTGAAACTTTTGTTATCACTCTTTTCTTTGAGAATGATAATAAGTGAGCTCTACCAACCAAATATTTGACAAAATTTTGGAAAATTAAAGTTCGTGGCGATTTATATTAACCCCTGGAAAAGTGCAATAGTGTTATATGAACTTCGTCCAGATTCTGAAACTGTGATATTGGGCAAATGCTATTCCAGAGTAAAATGGGCAACATATTAGATATTCCCAGTGGCTTTTTTCAAAATTTGGCCAAGATTATTAATTGATTTGTTTGTGGTCAGGGATCATTACTTAATCAGCTTGCCATAGCCAATGAGAGTTTGGGTGGAGGGATTGTTGTAGTGATGGCTGAACGGGACAAAGAGGAGATGGAACTTGACATTGCTAAAATGGAATTTGATTTTAGAGGAACATCTGTAATCTGCAGAAGTGGGAGTCCTCTTATCTTGGCTGACCTGAAAAAGGTAAGCACGATACTGCTGTAAAAATACCTGCCATTTGTTATTTAAATAGCCAACTAACT